ATACCATACAGCTGCTGTATGCTCGAATTCCAGGGCGGTAGATTCCAGCCAAGGTGGCACAGTTGGCTGCCTGCCGCTGCTGTGGGTGCTCCCAGGGTAGAACTGGTGAGGGGTGACAGTGGCTGCTGTGTGCAGGGCCACTCTAAGCACATCCTGGTCATGGCAGTGTTCCAACCCTGGTGGGTGTTGCCTTGCCAGTGTCACTGATGTATAGCAAACTGTTCTCTTACTGATTGTTCATCTCCCCAGGACCATGACTTCTTCCAGCATGTGGAAATGCACTTAAGGTCTGAGCACCCTCCTCTCTGTGGACGAGACCACCTCAGTTTCCGCTCCTACTACTTCCCTGTGAAGGTCAGTCTGAGTATTTAGGATCAGGTCATGAGGGTGGAGAGGCTTGCCTTGGGACACAGAGCAGGTCTGAGGCCTGGCAGAAGCAAGTCAGGGTTATTGTTCAGCAGGGAAGACTGGGGCAGTGTAAGCCATAGCTTCTGTGGCAAGAACTGAAACTAGCTCGTGAACAGCACTCTGTGAGAACAGTACTTAGCACTTAATACCATGTCTGTTTTGGTTTCTTAAGCCTTGTAGTAAGCCTTGTGAGGGTTGGTTTCGAGACCCAAGCCCAGAGGTGCTGCTGTTGTACTTCTCTACTTGCCACAGCATCTCTTTTCTCCGTCAGAACAAGCGGCACTGGGTAGCTGTTTGCCTGCTAGGTCAGACTGGGTGCTGCTTTGGGCATGCGTTTTTCCATCACCACTGAAAAGGGGAGTCTTGTAAGAAACAGCTGTTCTACCTGTTTCTGCTTTTGAGGAGGTGTGTTTGAGCTGTCAGCTACTAAATGCTGTGATGAGAAGAGTCCAGAGTACTGAACCAGAGGAACTGTGTGGTAACTACTACCAGGGTAATCTGTAGTAGTGGTCAGAAAGCTGTGCAGCTGCAGAGGGTGTTCTTGTTCTTGAGCTTGAGACTGATTTGCAGCATGGCCAGTCTCAAAGATGCCTCGCATGTGGCTGCAGCTGCCTTACAGTCATCTTTTACAGCCTTCCCAGCAAGCACTCAGACCTGAGCTGCACACAGGTTTTGGGGGTTTCTCCTTTGTTAATCAAGCTGGCCAGTAATGAATTTGTTGCTAACTGCTGCTATTCAGCAGATGAAGTCACCGAGCATGATCTTGTTTCCAGGACAGGATTAAGAAGCTCCTGGGAACAAACTGTTGCCATTTTTCCCTGCTTAAGCAGGGTTCAGTTCCTCTGTGTGGTGTGGATTCAGTGCTCTCCTTTTTGGTCCTCCAGAATGTGATCGATGGGGACCTGTGTGAGCAGTTCAACTCCATGGAGCCGAACAAACAAAAGAATGTGGCTGAAGAGCTGGACCGGACACCACCTGAGGTGTCCAAGAAGCTGGAAGACGTCCGCACACGCTATGCTTTCTGAGCAGCCACTGGCAGGAGCGGAGCTTCTTCCCGGGCTCCTGTGGATGCTCTTCCAAGCACAGTTGTGAAGAGGAATGTGTGGTTTGCTTCCTTTTTTAAATACTGGTTTGCTCCTCTTGTTTTATGTTTCAGAGTAACGTGACTCTAGTAAATACAGTATCAGATAAGATATTAGGTCTCCCAGCTCATCCCACTGCTTCTGTGAAAGCTCCCGACATGGCTTTCAGCAAAAGAGATCCCCTCTTGGGAAGTGCCCAAGGAAGGGGTGCAGCGACCCTCACCCTTGTCTCCTTGGCCTCTCTTTAGGATGGGAAGCACAAGGGTGTCTTGTGCTGGCCTCACAGAAAGCCCTGTAGGACAGATCTAGCTGAGTCTTTATAGGATCAAGTGGGTTTTGCAGTTTCCCAGCTTTCTGAGCTGTGGGATGACTCAGGATTGCCAGGCTCTGCTCAGTAGTTGGTGGCGAGAAGCTCTGTGCTTCCAGCCAGCCCTGGGAGTGGTAAGTAAGCCTGGCTGTACGGAGGGTGTAACTGTCACACTTGAGCATTCTCTTCTGAATTGGCGAGGGGTTTTTTTTTACTCGCCATTTCTGACTGTTTTCCCTGTAAATAGAGTTTTGTACTATGTTGACTCTCTTGGGGGTGGGGAAGAGCGAGGCCTGTGTCTGGGACTTGATTTGTTTCGTAATAACTTTGGCAAGAGCAGTGTCTCCAAGCTGTGACTGTGAGCAGCACATGAAGAATAAAAGCCTGGGTTTTAACAAGCCCAACTCTGTGGTTCTCCTTTCCTTTGCAGCAACAGTCCTGGCCTGGTGGGAGCTGAAGGGGTGCAGGAGGAGTACAGAAACATCTGTATCCTCAGCCCTGTGCCCTTCCTGCATGTTGGAGCTGTGCTGCAGCCCTGCAGATGTTGGACCATGAGCCCTGATCCCCTTCCCTGCCTGCTCTGCCTGGAGCTGGTCCTGCAGCCGTAGCTGCTGCTGTCCAGCACCAGTCTGGACACTCACAAAGCAGGGTGCCTAGAGAAAGGATGGGAGGGAGGAGTCTTGTCCCCCAGCTTCTGTTAGTCTAGAGGGCATTGCTGCTACTCTGGCAGGAGCAGCTGGTTGCCAGGATGGCAAGGGAAGGCATTTCTCCCTGCCATGCACTAGCCACACAGCATACAGCAGGTGCTTCCCAGTCTTGTTCCCAGTCTGGGCTTTAGCCTGCTTACTGTCTTACTCCTGCCAATGGGCCTGTCTCCGAGGAGTCAGAATGCTCCCACAGCGCATGGCATCCTGTGAATGAGCCCCAGTCTTCTCCCACTTGGAAAGATGGGCAGTGCCGTACTCAACATTGAACAGCATTCTGTTTCTCCTCTGCTGCATGTGCTGTGAGGTGAGGGCAAACCCACACCCTCCTGCCCTGTCCTTTGCACCGTCCTTTCCCCTTCCCTGCTTTGGGTTGTGGCTACAGGCTTGCGTTGGCAGGGGCTTCACACAGGGCAGTGTGCTTCGGCTGTATTGTGGCACCCAGCCTCTGCCCGGTCCTGAAGGTCTTTGTGCTTTCCTTCACTGTACCTTACAGGAAAGGCTGCATAAGTCAGGAAGCTGTAGACACCTGAGCAGAACTTGGTGGGTGTCCAGCCTCTTGCTCATCACGCACATGGGGTGCCCACCCTGGGGTACCTGCATTCCCCATCTGTTTGTCCTCTTCCACAGCGTGATGCCTGCTTTGGATGAGGGAGCACTCCAGCAGAACTTAGCCTTCACTGTATCATTAGTCCTAAGCATGAAATCACATCTGGAGGCTCAGGATGTTTCCAAATTGGTTTGCTCCCTTGGCTGGGCCTGCCTGAGCAAATAACCTGCCTCTGAAGCGAGGCAAAGCCTGGAGAAGCAAGTAGGAGACTGGGAGCTGGCTGAGCCTCAGCCCCCATTTGTGCTGAGGCTGCCAAGATGGGATCCCATTGGCCTCTCTGGGGAGAGGTGGGCTTCTCCCTGCAAGGGCTCCCTTCCATACCCAGGCTCCTGCAGCTGCAGGGTGCTGGGTGATGAGGTGGGTTGAAGCTCCTGGAGCCATGTGCCAGGGGCTGTTTTTCTTGGGCTTGCACCAGCAGTGTTTTCCAGCACGGCACAGCCAAGGAGGGCAAACCACCTCCAGCAGCATGTTGCAGAGGTCTGGGTGCTTCCTTCTCTTCCTCATCCCATCCTGGCTGCCAAGCTGATGACTCCATGGGTGTGGAATGCTATTAAATTGCTTCCTCTATCACCTGCAGCAGATGGAGGCAGAATCCCTGTGGACACCAAGGTGAGGAGCTGGACCAGCTCCTTCCCTGCCAGAGCTGAGCATCTTGCCCCCAGTGCAAAGGTGGGAGGGAGCAAGGGCCATGCCTAAGTGCCAGGTGGGCCCCAGGGACACTTGGCAGGAACGTGGTCATGCTGGCCTGACTCGGTGCCAGGGGAATCCCAGTGCGTTCTCCTCGCCTGCAGAAGTGCATTCCTTCCCACGCGTTTCCCTGGGAGCGCTGACCTCCTCTTTGATAGCTGGTTTCTCTTTCCCACCCCCCTGGATGCCTGTCAGCTCCCAAGCTCCCAAGGGCTTCGGTGTTCCATGTCCCCTGTCCCCTGTTCCTAGCATCCTGAGAAGACAAGGGTGGGCATGGGCCAGGGGGGTACGGGAGTCCTGCTGGCCTGGAGACAGCTGGGGAGCCCGCAGGCCCTCTCCCATTGGTCTAATCCATGTGATGTGACCCTCACCCTGGACTGATGCCCACTTCAGTGCTCCAAAACACACCCATGGGTGCCCAGCCGAGTGAGCACTCTGGAACATAGTGAGCAGCAGAGTGTCTTCAGGAGGTGGTGGATCAGAGCAGCCTGAGAGCATGTGGGCACCCAGCTGGGTTGGGTGAGCACCTTGGGGATGCACTGCAGGGCTGGCCAGCACCCTGAGGAGCAGAGGGGCCTGTTAGGCAAGTACCCCAGCTTGTCAGCCAAGCACCCTGGGGACACTCGGGTAGGTTAACTGAGCCCTCCAGGGACACCCAGCCGGGCAGGCAAGCACCCCGAAGAGCAGGGAAGGAGTCAGCAGACCTGGCTGAGCACACTGGAGACACCCGCCTGGGTGCACCCCAGGACCACCCAGCAGGGTGGCCGAGCACCTCAAAGAGCAGAGGGGGACCCACAAGGGTTGGCTGAGCCTCCCAGGGACACCTGGCTGAGTCAACCAAGCCCCAGGGCCACTCAGCAGGGCAGCCCAGCCCCGAAAGGATCATGAAGGGACCTAGGAGGGTTGGCTGAGCACCCTGGGGACACCAACCTGCGTTAGTCAAGGCTCCCCAGGGGCACTCAGAAGGGAGCCAAGCACCTGGGAAGCCCCACGCTGGGGTGCAGTTGGTCTCTCCCCACGGCGCAGGGAGGTACCCGTGAAGCTCGTCGGACCCCTTCCGCGTGCACCCACCCGGTCTGGCCGCAACCCCCGGGCACCCCCCGTGACCAGGGCCGGGCCGCGGTGTGCGAGTCCCTGTGCGGGCGGTGCGGGGCGGTCGCTCGGTCCCCGCTTCCCGCCCGCCGGCCCCCGGCAGCCGCCCCGCCCGCTCCCGGCGCCACCGCCCCCCGCCCGCCTCCCGAGAAGCTCGGGCACGGCCCCGCCGCCACCGCCCGCCGGGAGACGCGTCCCGCGCCCGGCGCCCCCCGCGCCGCGCCAGGTGGGTGTGCGGGGACCCCGCTGCCCGGGGGCGCGGGGGGTGGAGCGCGGGGGGGTGGCCTTTGTGCGGAGACACGGCAGGGGCCTCCGGCTCGGGGCGCGCTGCGCGGGGACACAGCACCCCCTCCGCGTGGGGCTGCGCTGCCGGGGTGCGGGACACGCTGTGGGGTGACAGCGTGGGGATGCGACATGTGCCCCCCGTCCCTGCGTGGGGACACAGCGTGAGGTGGCTGCTTCGGGCACCGTCCTTCAGCGCTCCCCCGCTGAGCATCTGCTGAGGCCGGAGGAACTCATTGCTGGGATAACGGGGCTCGGCTGTGCGTGTGTCCCTCCAGGGGGTGGCACCGGGGACAGCCCTGCCCCGGGCGGTGGGACACAGGCAAGCAGGGCTCCACGGGCACCGGAGCCGGTGCCCTCCGTGGGGCTGCAGCCGGGGCTCTCTCCCCCCAGATCCCCTCTTGCAGTGTAGGGGGTATCCTGCAAATCCCCCCGGAGCGCATCCCTGCCGGCACCCTGCGATGGCCCTGGGACCTGCTGCCTTCCCGCAGCCAGCCAGAGAGGAGAAGCCAGCGGGGACGGCCGGGAAGGGGAACTAACCCCCCATCCATGGCAGGGGGCAACCGGCCGGGGCTACCGGAGAGCAGCCCAGCACCCGGGGCCTGCAGCCGTCCCTCCTGCCCCCGCCACGTACAGCGCTGCCTAGGAGGCTCCCGATGAGCCCCGGCCATGTAGGCGCAGCCCAGGGCTCCGCCGATGGCCACTGTCGACATGCAGCAGGGCTACGCGTCCGTCCTGTGTGAGTACAGCTTGGGGACAGGGATAGGGGTGGCCTCAGGGGTCACAGCAGGGGGTGTCCCCAGGGTGGGGGGCTGACACTGCTTGTTTTCGGCTGCGCAGGGATCCTGGCTGTGCTGGGAATGGAGGCCACTGCTCTGGGCGAATGTGAGCTCACCCACCTGCTCCAGGACAAGCTGCAGTATGAGATGCGCCTGCAGTACATGGTAACCCCCAGTTTTGCAGGGATGGAGTGGACACATGGCATTGCAGGATCCCGGGTCACTCCAGGGATGTGGGGACATGGGACGCAGCACCCACTGCTACAGTGACTGGGTGCTGGGGTGACTTTTCTGTCAGGAGCTACATGTGCCCAATAGCGCCCAAAGGTGCATCCGCTGATGCATCTCCAGGGTTGACCATGTCAAGGGGCTTTTGCACCAGTTCCCTAGTGTCACGCTGGGGCTGGCAGGGGCATCCCTGTCAGCCTGCCAGCCACCAAGCTCTTCTCTGCCTTTCCAGAAGTACTACTTCCCCATCAACTACGTGGTCCAGGTCCAGTATGAGGAGGTGCTGCGGCCATCCAACATCACCCGCTTGGTAAGAGGTGGCAGGGGATAGCCCCATGATGGGGACATTCTGGGGGCCACACGAACCACCTGGGTCTCACCTGGGCCACCCTCTCTCCCCCAGCGCAATAGGACAGTGTCGGAGGTGGCACTGCGGTACCTCTGGTTCCATGTGAGCTCCCAGGCTGTGCTGCGGATCCACGAGGTGCTGCCAGAGAAGCACCCGTCCTGGAAGTACACACAGGAGCTCTGCCAGCTCTTTGATGCCCTAGGCAAGGAGTACAGCAAGTACCGGCAGGTGGGGAGACTCTAGGCCCCCTGTGGCACCCCAGCGCCAGACACACATTCATATGTGGCCTTGCATACCCCTTGCAGGGGTGCTGTGAGCAGCCAGTGCCTGTGCATGCAGACACACATGCCATGGGCACGAATGTGGGGTACATGCACACACAGTGCATGTCTGCACTGCGGGGACATGCGCCCACGGGTGTGTAAACTCAGGAGGGCATGCATAGCCCCCTCCTGCAGAATGGTGTTGTAGGAGGGCTGGCATAAGATGGGCTGCTGGAGGCAGAGGTTGGCACCCTGGATAGAAGGCCGTGGAACGGCGCTCCAGCGCTCTCCACATCTGGCATTGGTGGTTCAGTGGTAGAATTCTCGCCTGCCACGCGGGAGGCCCGGGTTCGATTCCCGGCCAATGCAACGGGTGTAGCTTTTGTACCGCGGTGTCCCTCGGGGGGACCTTTGGAGTGTCCATAGTGTTTTTCCTGGGCCACATCTGCTGGCCTACAGGGGCACCCGTGGCACTGCCCGTGTGCTCCCCTGTTCGTTGGTGTAGGCTGGTGACATGTTTTTTCTTGACTCCTGTGGTGATGTCTCAGGGAGCTTAGTGCATGGATGGGCCCTTGTCAGGGGCATTGGAAGACACAGGGCTGGTGGCACTTTGCATCCCTGGCTCGATGACAGTGAGTGTCCCTGGTCTGGTGGCAATAACAGGGTACTGCTGGGTGGCAGTGAGTCACCCTGGCTCAGCGGCAGTCTGTGTGTCCCCAGCTTGGTGGCACTGAGGGGCCCTGTCCCAGGGTGATGGGGGCTGCTTGGGGCTGGGAGTGGTCCTGCACCCTGGAGGCAGCTGTCTTTGTGTGATGGGTGGCTGTGGCCTGTCACAGGTGGGTCACCTGCATGAGCCTGAAGTGTATCTGAGCTGCCCTGTGCAATGGCACAGGTTCTGCAGCCCCTCCAAGGTCTTCCTATTCTGCTGTTAACTCTGAAGGCTACTGGCAGCCTCTCCTTGGTGGTGGTGATGTGTGAAGCAGCAGAAGAGATGGTCCCATGGCTGAAGCCCAGGCAGCAACTGAGCTGTCTGTGAATGGAGGTGTCCCAGCAGCAATGCCTATCCCTGCTGCAGCCACCAGTGCTGGGTTTGGCGGATCCGTGGAGCAAGTGTGTGTGCGTAGGAAGTCACATCTGGCATTGGTGGTTCAGTGGTAGAATTCTCGCCTGCCACGCGGGAGGCCCGGGTTCGATTCCCGGCCAATGCAACGGGTGTAGCTTTTGTACCCCGGTGTCCCTGTGGGGGAACCTTGGAGACGGCCGGGGTGCCCTGCCCGGAGGTTTCCCTGAGTTGCACCCGGAATGGAACTAGGGGCACCCCCTCTCACAGCCCGAATGCTCCTGTGTGTGTGCACGGTGCTGACAGAGCTCTTTTTGACTCCTGTGGCAGGGAGATGCTCAGGGCTTGGTGTCAGTGAGGGGCCCTGGGATGGCAGCAGTGGGTGCCCCTGGCTCAGGGCAGTGATGGCTTGGTGGGTTGGGGGCCCCAGGGCGACGGGTACTGCTTTGGGTTGCTTTGTCCTGTGCCATAGAGCAGGTTCTGCAGCCCCTCCAAGGTCTTCCCATTCTGCTTTTGACTCTGAAGGTTGGTGACACCCTTCCCTTGGTGGAGTAGGTCCGAGAGGAACAGAAGAGGGAGTTCCGTGGCTGGAGCCCCGGCAATATCCGAGGTGTCTGTTGTGTCTCCTTCCTATGGAGTGGATGTCCTAACAGCAGTGCCTGGCCCTGCTGCAACCACTGGGTTTAGCGGGTCTCGTGGGTCAGGTGTCGGGGCTGGCCCACATCTGGCATTGGTGGTTCAGTGGTAGAATTCTCGCCTGCCACGCGGGAGGCCCGGGTTCGATTCCCGGCCAATGCAACAGCTGCAGCTTTTGTATCCCGATGTCCCTGTGGTGGAACCATGGTTATATCCCGGTCCTGTTCCTGCAGTCAGATGTGGAAGCAGTGGTGGCCGACCTGGTGAAGCTGATCCACAGTGCAGGCGTGGAGAGCCGGAAGAAAGCCGTGCGCCCCAAGGCACTGCTGGACAACTGCCTCAAGGTCATGCGGATGCTTTATGGGGCACCCTGTGAGTGGGGACTGGGGAGACACAGACCTTGGGGAATGGAGGTTGTGTGTATTGAGGTCCCGTCCCATGTTTTGATACCTGTCCTCTCTGCCTAGGTCAGTGGGAGTCCACCTAATGCTGCAGAAGACCCCTTGCTTGATGCCTTCTCCTTGCCCTAGAGCTTGGGATGCTGCTTCTGCTCTGCCTCCCCAGCAGATCCTCATTGGGTTCACGAAGAAGGATAAAAGGGGGGAAAAACACCACCCCTTCCAGGACTGTGGGACTGTGCACACAGCCATGGGGTTGACCCCATCCAAAATGCCAGGCACCTTCTGTAGGGGTGTGGACTGGGGGGGCAGTGGGGGGGGGGGCTGTTGGACATCACCCCGTTTCTCTCGGTTTGTGTTTTTCCCTCAGCTTTCATTAAACACCAGTTAATTCTCTAGTGTTACAGCTTCCAACCAGGTCCCAGGATCCTCCAATCTTACTCAAAATAAAGGACCAGCAGAGAACAACACCAGCTGCCTCCGCTGCCTCCTCTTTTGGGGTGTTAGCCCCCTCCTTGGCTTTGCAGAGGAGATATTCCCCTGATACAGGGACCTCCAGAGCTATCGCCCGCAGAGCTGTCTCCTTCAGCCCCGACCACTTCCCTGGAACAAAACATCTGGATTTGTTTGTTGTCCTTGGCAGCACAGTGCAGGCAGTGTGCCGGAGGGGCTGAGGGCCGGCCGGCTGCCTTCCCCTTCCCAGCTTCATTAATTACCTTAATCAGCTATTAGAGCCCTTAACTGGTGTATTCCTGGCTGTGGGCCACTTAGGCTTACAGGTCTATGAGAGCATGCAAATGAGGCTGTGGGCACTGCAGCATGAGTGGATGCAATGCCTTCCTTCTCCTCCTCCTCATCCCCCTCTTCATGCTGGTTCATGTTTATATAAAACCCATGCAGAGCTCATATAAACCCCACCAACTATAATCCACTGCTTGATAAAGGGCTATAATTACACGGATCCACTCGCCCAGTCCTGCTGGCCTTAACAAGTATCTCCCAGGTGGTCCAGGGATCCCAAGCCTCCAGGCCTGAGCTCCCATCTTGTGCTCATTCCCATCAAGCATGGGAACGGATCCTCCATCGTGGGAAAGCTGAAACTGCCCCAGCAAAATGACCCCAGCCAGGCTTCTCAGAGCATCCGTATGGCAAGCGGCTGGGCTCGAGGCTTGCCAAAGCCCTGCGTGTCCAGCCTGCTTGAGATGTTGCGACACTATTTTTCCAGTCCCTCTTTCAAGGGATGTCTTCAAATGTGTCAAATGAGACCCACCATGGAAATGCACTCACACAATGAGGCATCAGAGCCTGTTTGCAATGTCTCATGACGTACCATGAGATGGGAGGGGTGCAGAGAGGGTCATCTCAGGGTGAGGTCCCAAAGGACATCCCCAGAGACATGGGAGATGCTCCTGCTGTGAAATCCACAGCTGCTGGAAAAGGAAGAGCTTTTGCTGGGCTTGAGCCAGGAGGAAAATAAAGCCCTCAGCATCCTCATGGTGGGTACAGAAATGCCACCCGGTTTTGGGGAAGCCAGGCTCAGCAGGGAGAGACCCAGGCTCCAGTAACGCTGCCCCATGACTGTGGTTTTGGGGCTCTCTGGGATGCCCTCAGGCCACCAGTGAGTGTGGCTTATGGGCTATTAGAATGGGGCTGCAGTGTGAACATGCCCAAGGGGATCCTTTGGCCTCAGGGCTGTCCCAGCAGAGCCTGACACCAGCATGCAGGACCAATCCTGGAGCATCCTTCCCTCTGCTTCCCTGGTCCAGCTCTGCATCCCTGGAGGTGCAGCAACCTCAGCTCCCACCCCCAAGTAGGGGATCCCTGTTCTCACCCTATACAGGCAGAGAGAGCCTGGAAATGGCAATTAATTCACTTTATTGACATCAGTGGCCACCAAGACAGGGTGCTGCTCTCACCACGGCAGGCTCTGCCCCCTCCAGTCCCAGAAGGTGCCATTGCTGGTGCCTGAGAGCCGTGCCAGCAGCCGCAGGACACCCTGCACGCTCTCCTCCATCGTCACTGGGCCCTATGGAGTCAAGGGCATAGGATAAAAAATGATCCCAAGCCGCCCTCCTGGCACCCCTAACTGCATCATGCGTTGCAGTGGGATGCCAGTTGGGGCAGGTTGGGAAAGGCTGGAGATGCTCCAGTAGCCAAGGGATGCAGCTTTGCACAAATTAAGCATCCCTATAATTTCGGTGTTATAAGGATGCAGGTCAATCTTACAGTTCCTAATAAAAAGTGGTTCATTCATTCTCTCTTTAAACTCTTCTTAGCTCCAGCCTCCCCTTGGTACTGTCAGAGGGGAAGAGGTATCTGGGGTGCTGGGGAGGCAGCACCCCTTGTGCATTGCCCTCACGAGAGCTGAGTGCAGGGCTGGGGTGCCCTCTGCTGACTTCAGATTGGGATGGGAAATCAAGTGAAAAATACGGAAGAAACTCTCTTGTTTAGGGGGAAGAGCCTGAAATTCTCCCTTTTGCTTCAGTTGTGCAGTTCCCCTGGGACTGAGGGTCTGTGCAGGGGTGGGTGCCCCCGGGAAGAGGTGCCAGTGGGAAGGGATGCCCTGGGAAGGGATGCCCCAGGAAGGGATGATGCCCATGGGAAGGGATGCCCCGGCAATAGATACATATCAGAAGGGATACCCATGGGAAGGGATGAACGTGGGAAGGGATGCCTGAGGAAGAGAGGCCCTGGGAAAGGATGCCTCAGGAAGGGATTCCCGTGGGACTCTGCTGAGCCAGGGTAGTGATGTACCTCCTGTCACTCACCATCCCCTGTCCCAAGGGAGGCGTCACACAACCAGGGTCCACGGACACACAGAGGATCCCTCTGCCCCCGTACTCCAGGGCCAGGCACTTTGTGAGCATGTTCAGAGCAGCCTGGCAGGAACAACCGCACCACCATCATTAAGGGCCGGCAGTGCCATGGCCAGTGTGTGTGTGTGGGGGGGGGGAATTCCACAGGAAGTGACCTCCAAATTTGTCCCCATTCCCACAGCAGTGGTACCTTGCTGCAGCGGTAGCAGATGTCTTGCCTCTCCTCCCAGGCCTCCCCTGCCTCGATGGAGCCCAGGATGCTGGAGATGTTGATGATGGCAGCTCTGCTGCAGCTCATCTCATGTTGCCCTTCAGCCTCAGCCGCCTCCTTCAGCAGGGGCAGGAATGCCTGCAGGGGATGGGTGCTTGGGCATCACCATCCTCTTCCTCCCCACTCCCAGCATCTGGGGCAGTGGTTACCTGTAGCCTCACCTGGCTTGTCTGCAGGGGGCCGATGGTGTTGGTGGTGTAGACAAGGGCCATGTTCTCTGCCGTCTCAGTGGCCAGCGTGCTGCGGCGTGTGGTGCCGGCGTTGTTGATCAGGAGGTTGAGGCCGGTGCTTCCCACCTTCTCCTGCACCTTCCTGACAGCTGCCTTGATGCTGTTGGGATCTGTCACGTCTGCAAGGGGACAGGGATGAGCCAGTGGTCATGTCTCAGTCAAGATGCTGTATGACATGGCAGGAGGCAGCTCCTGGCCACTGAGAATTCTCCCAGTCCCTGCAGTGACCTGGTTGGGCTCAGCCAAACCAAGGGACCTGTCTGCTCGGGTGATGTTTTCCAGAGCTACCCACAGATGCCATTAAATCCAAAGAGATTTAATTCCCTTCATCCCCCTCCTGCCCTGTCACCTACCTAGAGGCAGGACCATGACGCTGGGGTTGCCCAAAGCCACCTCATTGATAGCCTACATGGAGAAAGGAGTGGGAGAGTTAGGTAGGAGGGTTCATGAAGAGGGTGGCCCCCATGCCATGCTGGGATGGGAACTGGGTGGACCAGCATGACATGAACAACAGGCTCCAACAAGCCCCGATGGGAGAGGTATGGGGCAATTTGCTGCTTCCCTTCACCCAGCTGAGGACAGCAGCTTCCAAGCCCCCTGGGAGCAATGCCCCCAGCATGGAGGACTGCCAGCACACCCAGACCCCAGCACAACCCACCACCTCTATGTCAAGAGGGAAAACATTAAATATATATAAATATGTATTTTTCCATGCTAGTTACAGTGCAGGATGCTGATGCTCAGCCCCCAAAAGTCTGGTGGGGATGATGGCACCCCCAGGTTCTGTGTTTCTCAGCCCATCCCAGAGCTGTCCCTGTTTCCCCCCACCCAGCGCCCTCCCTACCTTCCCCTGGGGGTCCAGGCAAGCAGCAAAGAGGTGCTGAGGGGGTCTGCGCTGCTCCAACAAGCCCTTCAGCAGCCCCAGGCCCAGGCCCCCATCGCAGCCGGTGAGCAGGACGCTGCCCACCCTGAGCTCCTCCATCTTCTCGCTCGCTGCAGCAGTTGTGACACACTGGCAAGGTTTGGCAACAGGTCTCTGTAATCTGGGAGGTGGCAGTGCGGGTGCTGCCGGGATGGATGGAGGTGGTGGTAGGGACACCACCTGCACACCCTCTCCTCGGGGCCTGGGGGAGGGAGATGCTCTTCAGCATTCCCAGGTGGCCACCCCATCGAAGAATCCCAGACTGGTTTGGGTTGGAAGGGACCTCAAAGCTCATTCAGTTCCAACCCCCTGCCACGGGCAGGGACACCTTCCACTAGACCAGGCTGCTCCAAGCCCTGTCCAACGTGGCCTTGAACACTGCCAGGGATGAGGCAGCCACAGCTCCTCTGGGCACCCTGTGTCAGGGCCTCAGCACCCTCGCAAGAGGTGAGGAAGGATGTAAGAAGGAAGGAAGATATACCTTCTAAGAATATAAGAAGAAGAACTTCAGCTTCTCTTCTCCATCATCCTGACGATGCACGTCTCATCCCATCATACCCCAGAACACCCACTTTCCCTTAACCAAGGGCACTGCAGAGGGGTGATGGGACCTTCCTCCCTTATCCCTCATGACCCAGGGTACCACAGGACTGCAGGTGAGGCTATTAATTACAGTACAACCTTTATTAATACTGGAATCTTCACAGTGCATTCGTTACTTGTAGCAGTGACTATGGAAATCGGGGGGGGGGGGGGGGGGACGGGGTGGAAAAGAGGGGAATTACCACAAAAAAATCCCCAACTAAAAGAAGAGGGAATGAAAGAAAGAGAAAGAAACCTGTAAGAGGGATGGGGAAGGGGGAAGCGGCAGCAGAGGCAGGAACACGGAGGGGAAATAAATTAAAAAAAAAAGAAAAAGAGAAAGGACGAAGTTAACAACAGCACCAGAAAAGTTACTTCAGTCGAAAGACAGGGTGTGTTTTTATCTTTCCAAGGAATTGTGTTTTCCGCACAAAATAAGAGACTTCCCTTCCACCCTCCCCCAAACCCAAACATTTCTCACTTGGCATCAGCGGTTCTGGGCAGGAGAAGGGGTGTGTGTGTGGGAACTAAATAGATATTCCTAAGGGAGGGAAAAGGGAGCTGCGATGCAACAGACAGCGGGGTGTCAGGGACTATGTACAGTGGGGCCTGGGGGGGGTTGTGCTTTCCTCCAGCTGCTTTGCTTGGGGGGGGTCTGGGTGAACCCCCCCCTGCCCCCCCAGAGCTCCCTCAGCAGGACCCTGCAAAGGGTCTGTGGGTGCTGAGGGAGAGGGAGAGGGTTTTGGGGGGGTCCCCAGTGATCTCTGGGGGGGGGAAAGAGGAGGTTTGGCATCTTCAGCTGTGTCCTGGTGTCCCCCCAAATTGGAGGGGCTGTAGTGCCTATCCCCCACTGTCCCCCTACCCTTTCACACATCCCCCTCAGCCCCCTCCCGGCTGCTTCTGCCCCCTCAAAATGGGACTGCCCCCCCCTGCTCCTGGTGCTGCTCCTGCTGTGGCCCCAGTAGCCCTGGGGCCGGGGCACCTGCCTGTGTCCAGGGAGGGAAGGGAAGAAAACAGGGAGAGGAGAGAAAGAGAGGATAAAAGGAAAAGAAAGGGGAAAAGGGAAAAAGGAAGGAGAGGAAAAGGAAAGGGAAAAATAGGAAAAAAGGAGGAAAAATGGAGGAGAAAAAAAGAGGAAAGGAAGAGGAAAAAGAGAAGACAAAGAGGAGGAGAAGAAGAAAAGAGAAGAGAAGGAGAGGAAGGGGAGAGGAAAAGAACAAGAGGAGAGAGAGAGGAAGAGGAGAAGAAATAAAAAGAAGGGGAGAAGAAGAAGAGAAGAAAGGACGAAAAAAGAAGAAAACAGAAAAAGAGGAAGAGACAAATAAAGAGAAGAATAAGAAGAGACAAAGAGAAAAGAAGAAAAAAGAAAGAAGATAAAAGAAAATGAGAAAAAGAGTCAGAAAAGAGCCCAAGAGAGAACATGCAAAGGAAAAATGCAAAGAAAGGAAAGGGCTGAGGGGAAGGAAGGAAGAGACAGAGGTGTAGGAAGCAGGGCAGTGAGGAGGGGCAGCAGGTGCAAATGGGGGGGTCCCGGGAGGCGCAGCGGGTGCCCCAGGGGGGTCCATCAGCCTCAGTGGGCACATCATCACGATATCCGCGGGGCCGACCGGTCGTTGGTGACCGTCCTGCGGAGACGGACCCCGCGCCGGATGGCCACCAGCATGTCTTCAGCCGGGGGGTCCATGGAGGCCGCCGGGGGGGGCGCAGGGGTCTCCTCGCCTGGGCCAGACCCCGCGAGGGCAGTGGGGAAGGGGAACTGGCCTTCACCCAGGGCATGTGCACCAGCCACCAGCTCACCAATCTTCTCCACCAAGCTGTGCCGGTTGGCAGCCAACTGTTGGTCCTCCTCTTCCTCAGCAGAGAGGTGCTGGCTGGCCCCAGGGTAGACAGAGATCTCCATGGGCCCACTGCCCCAGGCGGTGTTGGGAAGGCTCAGCCTCTTGGGTGATGCTTTGGCAAAATCCAGGGGGTTCGGCAAGGCGTCGTTGGTGTAGAAGACGCACTCTTCACTGCCCACCCGTGTGGGGCCGGTGTAGCCAGGGGAGTCGGGCACCGTGGGGGTCTTCACAGGGACAATAGGGGGTCGTATGGGGATGGGGCCAGCATTGGAGAGGGTACGGCGGACAGAGGGTTTGGTGGAGGGCGTGCGGCGGATGGTGGCCACCCCTGGGGTGGTGCCGGCTGGGAGGTTGGTGCCGCTGGGCAGCCCGGCAGTGGAGGCAGGACGCTTGGTCTGAATCATCCGCCGGTAGTTCTGGGCAATGTTGCTGTTGCGAGGGATGGTGGAGGACTTGTCAAAGTCGCTCTGGGGATCACACTCCACATCGCCGTTCACCGAGTAGCAGTCGTAGTCAGAGCCTGGGGAGGAGGCAGCGTGGTCAGTGTGGCCAGGCGGGTGGTGGCACTGCCAAGCCCAACCACCGTCTTCACAATGCAATCACAGCCAGTCCCAACTACCACCATCTCAACACAACCACAACCAAACTCAACTGCCATGAATTGCAACGCAATCACTGCCTTTATCCCAACAACTGCTGGCACAACATGCTGACCATCAAACCATCACCATTGCAGGGCAACAACCATCAAACCCAACCAGTGTCATCATCAAACCCAACCATCATCATCATCAAACCCAACCATCACTATCTCAGGGCAACCACAATCAAACCCAATCATCCGCACTGAGATCACAACCAAACCCAACTGTCACCATCGCAGTGCAATCACAACCAGATCCTGCTGCTGTCATCGTAACATGGTCACAAACAAACAGCCATGACCATCACAACTGGCTTCAACTATCTCCACGACATGGCTGTAGTCAAACCCAACCATCACCATCACAACCACCCCAACCACCGCCATCACAGTCAACCACCACATGCTCACAACCGGCTCAGCCATCCCCATGCCACACGATCCCTGGGGTTACTTGATTCCAACTGTCACCTCCACTGCCATCACCCACCATCTCCACCTGTACTCAAATGCTGGGCACAAACCCGTTGCCACAAACCATCACCCTGCTGTGATGCTACCTGTTATTGCACTGCTTGGCACAACTGTAGCCATCAAGACCCTACTGACACCCAAACCACCAGGTGAAACTGCAGTTATGGTGTGGCATGATGCTTGTGCCACACATTGAACCTCACCCTCCCCCCTACCCCCATTAAATCTTCACTCACCAGCCCCTGTGTGATGTGACCCAGCCTGATGCTATGACAGGCAGCACACCCAGATGTACCGCAGGATCACCAAACCATGTGCTGTCCCCTTCCCCGCTCTGGGTGCCACTTTGGGTGGCCCTAGGCGCCCCTTGCTGGATACCTTGGGAAGGGATGGTGTCTTCAGAGCAGGACGGGGTTGTGGTCTGTGTGCTGTAGCCACTGGAGTACTGCAGTGAGTCCCGGCTGCTCTTCTGGTGTTCCAGGCTCAACCCCCGTGTCAAGACCATGGCCAGGTCACTGGCAGCGGGGGACACCTCCTCCCCATGCTGTGGGGACAAGGGGACACCATCAGCATCCTAGTTTCTCTCTTGGGAGCCCCCCAAAAGCCCACTGCCTCTGTGCTGTCCCCGATGGAGCAGGTACCTTGGCAGCGATGGTAGCTGGAGACATCCGGGGTCTGGGAGCATCCTCACTAACAACGCCAGGGTACCCACCGGTGGGTAAGCCCATCTCGGCTTCCCGCAGGTGCTCCACGCGGTCCTTGCGCCGCTGTAGCGTTGGGACCACCGGCTGGTCATAGGGGCTGGCCTTGGACCAGTCCTGCAATAGCCAAGGTATGGGGTGATGCTGGTGAAACTGGGACTGGGAACCAAAAGTGGGGGAGGGTGGGAAGGGGCATACACCAATGCATCCCCCCAAGTCATGCGTGCTGCCCAGGATGCTCTGCCCCACAGGGGGGATCTGGAGACCGAACCCCACAAGGTGTTGTCGAGCAAGAACTAACCGAGGTGGGAGAGCTGCACTCGCTGACTGACTGGCAGGTTTCAGAGGCCTCTGAGGATGCTGAACTGGAGGACTTCTGTGTGCCAAGCGGTGATCAGAGTGGGAGAGAAGAGGTAGTTAGGAAGCACAGCCAGAGCCATGGCCCAGGTTAGAGAAGCACCCACAGCTTCCCCAGCCAAGGCCACCTCCCCCATGACAGCAGAGCAGGATCTAACCCAGCAGCAGGGTTGGGATGCTCAGCTCCAGCTCATGCCAAGCTCCATGGAGCCAGTGGTCATTCTGGTATCCCCAGGAGCTCTTGCCAGATTGAAGATGCCAGGTTGCAAAGCAGCCAGGTGGCACAGCTAGCACTAGGGATTTGCAGTTCCCAAGGGTGCTGGGGGGTTCTGGAGTATCCTTGGCACTGGGGAGGATGCAGGATGATGGGAAGCTTTGCTCCATGCTGCCTGATGGGGGACTGGCAGAAACTGGGTATTATGGGGCCGGGGTGAGAGGGAAATACCCTGCCCCTCGGGGAATACCTGTGCACCATCCCTGGGGG